GACTTGCAATCCGGCAGATTTTGCATTAGTGAAGCCTTTCCTCTCTCTTCTTAAAATGCCCGATCCGTGCAAGGTTCTCTGCTGCTGCTGCTGCTGCTGCCAATCGATCGCCAATATATCGCCCAGCAAACGCCCCTCGGCTCCCTTTTCCCCTTCCCAGGGATGCGAGGGATGAACACCAATTGGCTCGAACGATACTGACTGAAACAAGCAGGTATGCATCCCGTCGTTTGATGCCAGTCACTCGATCTCCGCAGCCGTATGGGGAGATACACGTTACATATGCGATCCTGGGAGCTCCTTCGCCTTCATTGAAAATGATCCCTGCCCCGTGTGCAATTGGATCGAGCTTCTGATCTTGTGGGTTCGATTTATTCCCAGGTTCCGTCTATTCGGTTCTGTCCTCATTCTTTCGTATCAACATCGTGATGATGGCTGTGGAGTGCGGCCACCCAAAGGGGTCTGGCAGGTGAGTCTATCTGATTGTGTTAAGCAAGCTGTGTCCGACAATCTGAGCTGATATTATTTTCCAGAGAGAGCAGACGCCAGACCGGCACGATTCGAAATTTGGAAAATGAAATCATGCTCAACACATCTAATCGGCTCGAGGGAAAGACAAGATTACTGCGGGCTTCAGACATCTTACTCTCCTTGGCTGGCAGGTCCACCACGAACGGTACATCTCAGCTACATGCTTATCCTAGCTTTGTTACATAGGGTTGGAGCAACTGATCTGAAACTTGCTAGACACAGGAGAACCATCCCCAGCAGTCGAAAACTTCCAAGAAGCCTTACGACTTTTCCCTCCGTTTCGCGACGATGATGGTGCCACACTGGGTGTGCTGGAAGTCCGGTGTCCGGACTGTGACGCTGTATTTTCGTCCTCGTATGCGATTCACCCTCGAAAATAGTCAGCCATCTAACAGGGTCTAGGGCCGAGCTGGACCAACACTACCTGACGAGATACTGTCCAGGGGCCGCAGTGGCCGTATATGTGATGATGCGTGATCGGTATATAGCTTCTTGGGAGATACTTGCCGGGATTATGGACTGACAGCCTACAGTCTGATAACAAAAGGGTATCGGATGGAGAAACGGTTGATCCCGCTGGATTCTCGACCTATTCGATTCTTTTGCAGCAGCTGCGAGAGACCCTTCTCTCTTAGCCATGACGGTGAGACGATAGAGAGACAGCAAAGTAGGATCATCCGATGGATTAGAGACACAGGCTGACTGGACCACAGGTACGGCGTGCTTCGTGGATTGTACTCATTGCGGCTCAAGCTGTAACATCTTGTCCGTTGTCTCCTTATATACGCTTGATTTTTACTTAACTAGATTCTAACGCCTTCGCAGATATGAGCCAGTCCTGAATGATCCTCGAGACGATGCGAGTTGCCGAGACACCAACAAAGAGATAGCAAGCTCCAACCATAGCAGGAGCCCCAGCATTATGCAGAAGAGCTCTATGACTTCAAAGTTTTCCTCGACCGACTATGGCGAGCAGTCACTCGCAAAAAAGGCTCGGAAGATAAGAGATTCTTGGTCATTCAGAAGTATGTCTGCCACTATAACAGGTTATACATGCTAACCTTTCTTAGAAATATCGCATGGGGATGAAGAAGAGCTGTTGGCTATTAGCTTTGCGGGGCTTTACGACTTGGAGAAGGGTGAGTATGGCACTGTGGTTGTCTCGCAAAGCTAATTGTATAGTACATGCGCCGAACGGCACATATAGACCACTTGATAACACTGGTGAGATGAATCCTCCAGATGCAAGTTTCTGCGCAAGTGGTAAGCTTCATGAGCCCTGTAAGGGATCCTCAGCTAATAGCATCAGGCCTCTGTGATAGCGCCGTCATGGAGTCTGAGAAAACGCTGTGCGAAGATGAAACCCGACTCCAGGCAAATGGCCCTGATGACTCCGAACGTGGGCTCGTCGAAGACAAGGGAGATGCCGAGTATGAATCGCCTAGAGATTCCAAGAGGCAATCGTTTTTCCAGAAAATATTCGGTCGCAAAATATCCACAGGTAGAGTCGCTAGCTATACTAGTTGGGCTTTGCTGACCCTATAGGCCTATCACGATCACGGTCGACGAATAAAGGCAAAAAGCTTTTAAAACGAGCAAACAGTATAAGATTCTCTTTGGTGACGAAATCTCGAGGCATCAGTAGGGCAGCGGCCAGAGATAGTCTGGGATCTTCCGAGGAGGCTCTAACCCGAGAGATGGGTAAAAACAACAGGTCGACTGCCGTTCATGATGCGGAGTATATTTCCTTGCTACGAGGCACACAGAAGATATACGTCCACGTGCAGTATCTGTCAGGCGGAGCGATAGTACACGACGCATCCGGACGACAAAGAATACTTCAAGTTGACGAGATTGCCAAATTGTTCCTGCAGATGAAGGACGAGCTCACATCGACGGCGTCTTGGTCAAAAGTCCTGATGACTCGAGTAAAAGCAGAGGCTTTCCTAAAGCAAGGAAATTTGCAGGAAGCGGTTGCGGAATTTCACAATGTACTGAAACTACTCGGCGACACGCCCGGGTTCGATGTCGAGAAACGGACCCGCGCCGCGGTCCTACACTCCTTAGGACAGGCATATCGTGACCTCGACCTGCCAGTTCAGTCAGAAGCCTGCTATCTTGAGTCGCTCGGGACATATAAACGCGTCCATGGGCGTGATCACTCGAAGAATTTTGCCGTTCTCCATGACCTTGGAAAGCTCTGTGAGAAAGACGGTTACGCCACGGAAGCGGCAGCAGTGTACGAACGCTCGTTCGCGGGTCGACTGAAGACACTCGGACACAATGCCCCGGATACATTAAACAGTATGCAGGACCTCGCTTCTCTAAAAGTCCTGCTTGGTGACTTAGAATCCGCACTCCTTCTTCTCGAAAAAGCCGTTCCGGCGCTCGAGACCGTCTTCGGCATCCAGAATGCAACCACGCTTAACGCAATGAACAAACTGTCCCAGCTGTATCAGAAGCTCGGCCTTGAGAGAGAGTCGCGGATCATATGCAGCCGAGCAATTCCCCATTGTCGGACGGTCTTTGGCCTCAATAGCCTTGTCACCCGAGACGCAGTGGTCCGGTACGTGCAGAGCTCGGACAACTTTGATTTTCCACCGGATATACAAGACATTCTTGACAGATACAAACGCTCTCGCAATCCAGACTGCCTCCGCGTTATCCACCGCTTAGGCCGGTGCTACATGGATGTCGGGCTCAACCGCGACGCAGCAGATTTGTTTGAAGGCCTAGTGGAGGACTTCATGGCCGTCAAGGGTTCTGAAGCCCCAGAAACATTTGATGCGCTCAGCGCGCTCTGCGTATCCAGGGAGCATCTTGACTCCGTGGACAAGGCAATTCTCGCATATAGGCAGCTCGTGCATATGGCCAGGAGAACACCAGAACATCACCACTCACGCAAAAGAATCGGCTACGCGGAGAAACGAATCGCAGAGCTTGATCGACGACGGGATATTCTCGAGAATGAAAAGAGGGAATGGGGACTTGGTGAATCAGGGTCATGCGAGAATTGCGGCGGTCTCACCGTTCTGTTATGCAAGAGTATGTCCCTACCATGAGCCGAATCACATACCGAACGCTAATCTTGATACCATCGCAGCATGCAATATCACTCGCTTCTGCAGTGACGCCTGCCGCAAGCAATACGGCCCCACCCACCGACAACAATGCATCCCCTCCGTGTCCCTGCGCGAGTCCAAATCGCTCGCTATCAAGCCCAAATGCCCTGACTCCGTGCAAGACCAGGCCCTGTCCAAAATGGCCCACTACGACAGCAGATTAGCCAGCCAAATCAGCCTGAAAACAATTACTATAACAGCAAACTACACGCTCTACCTCGATCCTCGCAACTTCACAACAATCCGCATGAAGCTCAACCCAAACGTCAACACAATCGTCCTCTTCTCTCTGGACTCTGATGTCCAGCACACGGCACTAACCATTAACCCGCCCTCATCTCCAACCGAACAATCACAATCAAGCGGCGGCAAATTCGGCCGGATCTCTCTACCGACATCCTCCTCGAAGAAGAATACGCCTACTCCTTCATCCCCCTCAACGCCCCATGCAAAAGAAGAAATAACCTGGAGAACCCCCCAAACGCAGGACTGGCTCTGTCACATCCCTCTAAGCACCCCGGCAGCAACCCAAACCGGCCAACCAGCCCAGTCTCTGGAGAAGTACGTTCTCGTCAAACCCGGCAAAGAGATGCACAAATCCCTCGTCGACAAACGGGTGAGCGTCCGCGCGGGCCCTGAGAATGCAGAACGGGATCTGTTTCTGAGCTTGGACGCGCCGAATCGGGAACTCATCGAGTACGCGCAGGGGCTCCTTTTGACGGGGTATTTAGGGGAGGTGGTCATGTACGTTGTTGAGTGGGTTTGGAAGTAGGCCTGATCATATCAGGGTTGATGGATTACCCTAGTTTCGTGCCGACTTGGGGGTCATGCGTGTGACGAGAAAGGAGTGCTGGTGGGTGGGTATATATATCGGTTTGATCTAAGTAAGCTTAATTCCGGTTCTTTTTCGACATTTACGAGATGTTGTTGAATATTAGTCGTTTGCGAGTTAGCCTGCAGCTCGGAAGCTGTGCTTCTGGTTTGAGAGTGAGAAACTGCAGATAGTAAGTAATGATACATAAGGTACCTCTCTCATAGATAGTTCCCTGTTACTTCGCCATTGTGGCTGTAAATAACCTAGGCAAAGACTGGTTTCCTGCGTTAATCTCAACAGAAGGTATTACTCTGTATAATAAGATGAATACCGGGTCCAAGCGGCAAGGTCCATCGGGGGGGGAGGTAATAGAGCGGACGCTTTGCCATACAGCGAAAAGCCCGGCCAGGCTTGATAAGGAGTCATTACAGGGAAACCAACCAGAACGGCAGAAAAAAAATATCGCTGGAGAAAAAGAGAAGTTTATGGGAAAAGAAAAGGGGGGGGTAAAGAAAGAAAAATAAAAAAGAAACCGCCCGATGCGAGGGTCGAACTCGCAACCTTGGGATTATACTTTTAAGTGGATAAACTGAATTGGGTATTAGTTTAAAGAAAATAGATGATGCGATTGGTGGGTGTAACTCACAGTCCCACGCTCTGCCGATTGAGCTAACCGGGCCATGTAGTTGTTCCGGACCAAATTAAACTGTTTACAGAGCGACAATACTCTTGACTTTCTAATGAAAAACGTATGCAGAAAAATGTGATGTGAAAACAAAAAAGAAGCCGCCCGATGCGAGGGTCGAACTCGCAACCTTGGGATTGTACTTTCTTGGATAAACTGGGTTTGGAATTAGTTACAGAACATAAATTGTTAATTTTTTAGCAGGTTAACTCACAGTCCCACGCTCTGCCGATTGAGCTAACCGGGCCGATTGTTAAACAGCTTGAGCCATTGTCAGGTTTATGTCCGAAAAGTCAGGCTCTGACCATCTGTATCGCAGAACACGTGATAGAATCCAGACCAGGGCTTACATCATCGCCTGCCGCATTTTGGCCGATCGGATTTGGAATCCAGCTCGCGTGCCTCCATCTTTCTCAACTTCATTTGGCCGGTCTATTCCTCCCTGTTCAGTCTCACAGTCCCTCTTTTCAACTGGAAACGACTATGGAGTCTAGAATGTTTATCACTATTATCCATTGATCCTTCGAACGCTCGTTCCTGCTACCTTGATATAGGCGGCAATTTACCTACGGCCATAGACCCTCGAAACCCGCGAGAGGCCTGACACCAGCAATCATTGATACCGTCGCGCCATTGAACCTGAAATATACTTATTTTGCTCGAAATGACAACGCCCCGCCGGGAAGGACTCCCCCGGCGCCGGTCTTCGACACTCCATTACCACACTTTCGATACTCCGCCACCAAGGTCTCGTGGTAGGCCCAATTCCGGACAGTCCATGTCGTCGGGAGCGGATTCGCGGCAGCATGAGCCGCCAGATGAATCGGCGTCGCAGTCGCCTCTTCCGAAGAAGCAGATGGTTATCCTAGCTTTGATCGCGCTGTGCGAGCAGACAGCCTTCAACTCGATCAGCCCTTACCTTCCGGACATGGCGTCTTCGTTCCCCGAAGTACAACCGGGCATGGTTGGTGTATACGTCGGAATGATTGGTACAGCGTTCGCGGTAGCGCAACTCGTTACCAACTATTTCTGGGGGTGGCTGTCTGACCGGGTCGGACGGAAGCCGATTATCTTGCTGGGGACGATACTTACCGCAGTGTGCTTTGTCGCGTTTGGATTCAGCACCACGTTATACCAGGCTATCGCAGTCCAGGCGCTGATGGGCGTCGTCAATGGCAACCAGGGCCTGGTTTCTACATGTCTCGGCGAAATCACGGATAAGAGCAACCAGTCAAGGGCCTTCACTTACCTACCGGTTCTCTACGGCCTTGGCGGCATAACCGGTCCTCTTCTTGGTGGATTGTTGGTTTTCCGGCAGAATCCCTTTGACAAACGCAAGCCGAATCCATACCCGTACCTCGCTCCGAATTTACTGTCCGCTGCGATCCTAGTTGTGGACTTTATTGTTTCTCTGATCTTCCTTGAAGAAAGTCTGGAAGACGCGGATACTTTGCCTCAGTTCGGCAAAAAGATTCGCGACATGTTCGCTTGGATATGGCAGATCACTAGCTTTGCAAGGCGGCCCCGGAGTGTGCGACCATCTGCTCATCTCCCATATCGCCTGATTCGGGAACATTCAGGAGATGACCAAGAGCACGATAGTGACTTGGATTCGGCCTCGGAAGTGTCGGAGACTGATCAAGGTCACGAATCATTGGCACGAAGTGAATTGTTCAACCGAGATACGATCCTGCTAATGCTCACCTACCTCATATTCGCTCTGTGCAACATCGCCTTCAATGCCTTGTTCCCGATCTTCTCCCAAGCGGCGCCGCCAATTGGCCGCGGACTCACGCCGTCGGAGATTGGGCTGGCCCAAGGGTTCTCTGGAGTGGTGACCATCCTTTTCCAGATTTGCGTTTTCGGCCAGCTGAGAGATAAGATGGGCAACCGATGGTCATACCGAGCCGGTCTGTTTGGGTTTGTGGTCGCATTCATCCTGATGCCTTTTATCGGGTACAAGGGAAATGACGCTGAAAAGAACGGCGTGTCCGGCAAAACCGCCGTTATGGCCGCCGAGCTTTGTTTCGTCCTGCTCATCAAAACAGTCGCCGCCGTCGGTGGGCTGACCAGTGCGCTCCTTCTGGTAAGTCTACTTCCCCTCCTCACTGTTTGCCACGGTATCTAATTGTTGCAGATTACAAATTCCGCCCCCAACCATGCGGTTCTCGGGGCCCTTAACGGGCTCGCCCAGACTCTATCGGCCGCGGGCCGTGCCGTAGGGCCGTTCCTCTCGGGGAGTCTCTTCTCGCTCGCTACGCGCATCCAGCCCAAGGGCGAGGCCATCTCCTTTGGCGTCTTCGCCGCGGTTTCTCTCCTTGGGTTCTTCCTAAGCTTTGGTATCAGAGGCCGCTCACTTGAAGCCGATGACTGGGATAGCGATGATAATGGAAGCTCCAAGTCCGATGATGAGGAGTCATGAGGTACCATGTCTTTTGCCATGGTCATGTGTCTAACTAAAATTGTTTACGATTGATGTCTGGGTTTGCATATTAGAGCGTAGAGCGCGGGGTCTGATTCGTCATGCTTATTTCTTATGCTGTACATATCACGCCTGTCATGGTCCGCTATTGTTCCGGTGTTTGATTTTATTAGACTATAGAGAGCAAGATGCTTCTAGCATAGCATACATGCAAGAACACGGCCACTTCATCCTGTGTAAGCATATCCTCACCATCTCCGGGCCATGAGTATGTCGGGCTGCCGGGCTCTCAGCTCAGATACCCCACTTTACTATTGACTAGTTAACATAAGTATGAGGTACACATCGTGAATATTGAAACGCTGATCATGTTCGTCAGACAGAGACCCTGATTTCCATTCTGCTGGGAATTAGTCTACCTAGTATCGGGTCTGATTTTGGATGCTGATTTGGTGAACGATTGGACCGAGCTTCTTTGATACTACTACCACTGGCATGATATGTACGCATAGTTCGGTCGATCCTGGAAGAAGACCATGCTTACCTAGGTATCTCTTGAAATCCCATTTTCTGTTCTCCATCGAATCTACTCCTCCACTGAATATCTTCGCGAAACCTTCCTCCCAAACCCCCACAATGAAGCCCTCAGTAACCGCCCTCCTGATGACTCTGGCGAGCGCTGTCTCAACCAACACTTACCGAATCCACTCAGCCTTATCACACGAACAGCTGGAAGCAGAGCCATCCCGCAACATTCTTTTCCTGGACCAGGACCTCCACCCAGGTTGGGAACGTATCGAATTACTTCAAAATGGCCCCGACGGGACCGTGAGCTTCCGGCATGACTTCACCGACAAGTATATCCGCTGTGCTGGCAAGGTTTGCGACGTTGGCGAACAGCCCGCATACTTCGCCCTCGAGCCGGTCGAGCGCTTCCCCCCGGGTGCTTTTAAAATGCGGGATCCTGCAACTGGCCTGCTCTGGACGGCGGTCGACGGACGTGTCGGGTCTTGGAGGCACTTGGTGGTGATTATCAGGTGTTTGTTCTGACGCAGATTGATTGATTGGTTGGCTTTGGGAATGTGTGATTGAGCCCGGCTGTAACTCTGCTATGGGTTGCTTGATGGGGGGGTGGAAATAAGATTGGACTAACCTTTGGGATGCCTGACAGAGAGAGAGAGAGAGAGAGAGAGAGAGAGAGAGAGATAAACGACGAATCCGGAATGAGCTTCCATCTTCATACTATAAATATATGAATGAAGCGTCGGACATGTGTTGGATCTTTCCAAGTTGAGCTGTTATTTTACATCTGTGGCTTATAAATACACAACTCTACGCCCCCGTCAGCCACTATATGAGTCCATGGATGTTCTATGTATGCTACTTGACCAGGAGGGAATAACGTTAGGTTGTTTGATAATGGATATATTACATCCAAATTAGTTAAGAAATTCATCACAGTCTGCCAAGATTACATACATATATATATATATATCTCTCTCTCTCTCTCATGATATATCTGTTGTCCTCGCACTTATACTCATACTCAGAATCCCTCTCTCTTTGCTCAGCTGCTTCGCAGAGGAGTATCTTTACCGACTCCCACCTGCTATGTACCTTTAGCGGAGAGATTGAGGACCCCCGAGCCCCGTGACGGAAGGCGAAGGGTGCAACTTAACCTGAACTGAAAGTATCCACACACTGTTAAAAAGGTATTAGCGAGCATATTAATCATTACGATCTGAGCTCAGAGAAATTCCGAGTTCTTACGATTTTGCGGATTGTGGTACTGATGCTGAGGTGCCCTGGGTAGTACGCTGACTTCAACCTACATAGTACTAGCTCGGTTTCTGTTAAGGTGCGATGATGGCTGATAGGGGGCAAGTACTATCCAGGGTCTGCTGTCGAAGATGGATGTTACTGGTATAATGTATAATGTGCTAAATTGGGAAAATATTCCAGGTGAGCAATATATATGTTTATATATGTATATAGAATAAAGTCTGCCACTATTTAGGGACGAGTTTCCGCTTCCTCGACTGTACTACATATCCACGTTCCAATCAGACCTGCCAGTTATATTACAAGGTGCATTAACCATTCTGCAGCTAGTTCCTGCCCAGATAAGAGTGTCACGGATGGTCCCGAGTTGTTTGCCCTAAATGTAAAATCCAAGTCAAAAAATAACAAGTAATAATAACGAAAGTAACTGCTTAGATGGTCTAAATTGGTCAGAAACACATTAAAATCAAGTCATCATTGCTGAGCTAAAATGAACTAAAAACAAAAAAATAAAATAAAATTAAGGATCACTTCATCAATAGATCAACAGCCCAGGGCACACTAAGCCCTCTCAAATCACCATAGTGCTGCCCAACGCCCAAGAACACAACGGGTATGCCTGTAGCATGCACCATGCTAACCAGTGTACCAACCATGTCGCCAACCGTGTCGCATTTGCTGATAATAAAACCATCCAGGTTCCGCCCAGTGCCAAAAGCTTGGTTGAAATTGCGCGCCTGCATCACGCTGTCCGTACCGACAAGAGCCTCACCCACCATAAAGATCTTGTCGGGTTTGGCGAACTTGGCGAATTTCTCCAATGAGGACATGAGACGCTGGTCGTTGTGTCGGCGGCCCGCGGTGTCAATAAGCACAACGTCGAACTTGTTGGCAGCTCCATACTCGACCGCATCCTTGGCTACATTCGCAGCATCTTTGCCGTAGCCCTTCTCGTACAACTCCACCTCGCCGACATTCTCACGAGCGCTGAGCTCTTTCAGATTCCGAGCATGGACCCGGAGTTGCTCCACCGCCCCGGATCG